GCCGGCGCACGCGATCCTGCACACGAAGCCTTGGGCTCTTCCCGCAGGTGGAAGGTCTTTGGACTAGCGGATGAAACTGCCGATGGTGGTGGAAAGCTTGTGGCTACATCGACTCCTGTCTTTTTAACTTCTCTGGCCCCCACGATGTAGGGGATTGACACTTGGCGTTGTTGCGGCGCGGTTGGTGTCACATTCCCCCCTTCCCCCTTCCTTTTTTTTACAGAGGGCTATGCGAATAAACGCCTTTGTAAATAACCGTTGTTGCCGAGGTCACGTTTTATTTTCTCCCTTCCCCCGCTGTGGTGACGAATGGTGATTAGATGATTGGTTATTTTGATTGGAGTTTTCACGTTTGTTCAGACTTCTTTATTCTTGCCAGAGAAAGGTGATTTCGAACATTTTTGTGCGTGTATGGTTGCTTTTCAAGGGAAGCCTGCAGTAAATAATCTGGGAGGCTTGGCAGATTAGCTAAAACTCGCCTCACCCACAGCTGGCTGGCACAAAACAAAGCTTAGCGGGGGGTCATGAGAAGGCATGGAGATAGCACAGCAAGATGAAAGGAGAGGATCTTTTGCGCGATGAAGCGTTGCTAAAGTCTTTGCGGCAGCCATTTCATTTACGACCATCCCCACTTCGAGTCGTACATTACGCCAATCCCCCACGTCCCCAACACACTGTGATAGGATATAATACTGGTGCGCGTCTAATATCGCTGCTATTTTTTGGACTCTATGAGCAAAGGAACAGTTACGCAAAAATGCTGTTTTTTTTTTTTTTTGCAACTCAGGGCTGGAAAGCTCGTTTGCTGAAGCGCGCAATGGTTATTGTTGAATTCTTGGTACCACAGAGCACCGAGTAAGGCGGGACCCAGAGGGTTTTTCGCATAGAGGAAAGGAATCCTGTGTTTTCGTGCAAAACTAACTGGCTAGGTGGATGCACAAAACCGCGTGCACATGAATCACCATGTCAACAAGTCTTTTCAACGAGGTTTCGTGGGTGCTCCTGTCCTGTCATCCCCTCTCGGGCGATTTAAATATGCATGACCCCTTCAAAAAACACCTCTGAAGCTCTAACACCAGCTTTTGTATTCCCGTACAAGCATGCCCCTCTTTGCGTTGAAATGGTTCGCCAGGAACAGCCAACACAAAACTCGTGACGTGAGGGGTAGTTGTTTGTTTGCCCGAATGACGAAGGCATAATTAGTATGCCGTAGGGCGACACACGATTCAAAATTAATTTTGAATACGTTCTGGGTGACAAAATTTGTTTACATTTCATAGATGATGTGTGTATCTACACAAATCTATTCGACAGGTTTTCTCGCTTTCAAAATTTTGTTTCGTTTCAGTACTCCTTTTAAGAGAAAGAAAGGGGGAGGGAGTATAGGCTGGTATGTAGATAAAAAGGGGTCTCACAAATAAACGAGACTCAAGCCCTGCTCTCCACTCCCCCCCTCCCCCCCTGCACCCCCTCGCGTCTTACAAGAATGGAGTCTTTGAAAATGAAAACAAAGAAAAAAGCACATGTAGTCCTATAATCATGTCGCTCTTTTTGTATTCGTTGTTTTGTAGCACTTGCATCATAAATTCCTGAGTAGAGTCCCCACATGGGAGACGAATGAGCGCCCTTCTCGTGTGTTTCATTAATCACTATATGCCATTGTGACCTACATAAATTTCCCACCTGTTTGTTAGTTAAAAAAGACCAGTACATTACACACGAAGACGGTGAGCTCCACTTACCCATTGAAATGAGGCTTCTCCATTATTAATTTATTTAATAGTAGCCTCAAGACCAGATGGTATTACAGAGGCAAGTGGTACATTTGATAATAAATAAAAGATTACCAGTTACTTGAAAGAAAAAAAAACAATACAAAGTGTAAGTCAATAAGAAATAATACCTAGCAGATATAACAACATCGCTGTGAGAGTAGAAAGAAATGAAATTTCTTGTGATAGTGTTAGCTATGTGATCAAACAGGGCACGCTGAAAGAACATATTCAATATGTATGCTCAAAAACCAAACATTTGCGGAACGTTTGCCAGTCGTCTTGCGTCTCCAAGCTGCTCTCTCGGGCATTACTGTTAAAAGTAGTAAATATCAGCTAAATAAGCGGAGAAAACACAGTGGAGTAGTTTTTTTTATTGTAGTTTCGGTTTTCAAGACGCCGCCGCCCACGAAAAGTGGCCATGCGCCGCCGTCGATCATTTTGCCCGGCGTGCGCCGACGAAGCCGCCGCCGCCGACTCGGAACGACCTCCACGCCGCCTCCGGTCGAAACCACCTCGGCGCACACCACTGGCGATGGCTCGTGCGCCGCGCGGAAGTTTCTGCTTAATTTTTAAGTGACGTCACTTATGTGTGGCGCACGAGCCACTTCTGTGTGGTGCTGGCTGCTGCGCCGCGCGGCGCAAGAGACGCTGCCAAAAAGAAAAAAAAAAGCTGAGACTATGCGGCGCACGAGCCACCCCCACACAGAAAAGGCTGCTGCGCCGCACGAAAATGACGTCATGCACTTTTTCAGTGAGGCGCTTTGTTTGAATAGTCGGAGTGTTTAGCGGTACGTCTAGACGTAATGATAGAAGCAGTAAAAGTTACGTCGAAACGTAAAAGTAAAAAATTGTTAGTTAGGTCCAGCATGACAAGAATACAAAACCCTCTTGTTAATCATTCCGAACCGTTTGGCAGCTGCGGCGTAGTAGGTTGAAACACCACAATAAATACTGGCGAGGTCGGTGGTTCGAGCCTTATTGCAGTATTTGTTACTTTTTTTTGTTCGCGCATGTATTGTTCTAACATTTTCACATCCTCATCGGTCTCTCGTCAGCCTGACTTGCTGCTGCTGGTGGTCCTATCCACAGGCCCTTTAATATTTAACGTTTGATGATTCTCCATGAATTGGCTATATTTATTATGATTAAGTGTTTTGCAAATAATTGCTCTTAATCGGCGAGACGCAAAACAACACGAAAAATTGATTGATTGATTTGTGGGGTTTAACGTCCCAAAACCACGCTATGATTATGAGAATCGCCGTAGTGGAGGGCTCCGGAAATTTCGACCACCTGGGGTTTTTTAACGTGCACCCAAATCTGAGCACACGGGCCTACAACATTTCCACGTCCATCGCAAATGCAGCCGCCGCAGCCGGGATTCGAACCCGTAGATTATGTGAGAAAAAAAGGGGCTGTGCACATCAGGGATTCAAAGCGCGATTCAAGGATTCAACATAACTTGTTGCGCGTTGATAATAAATTTTAGGTATACTTTTGAATAAAGGTTTGCGTTTTATAACCAAGGTATTACTGCACACTGAGAATGGATGTCAAAGTAACAAACAAAATGTGTCTGCATTTGTTAGTTTGTAAGATTAAGCAGCACCACATCTGTGGACTTGGATGGAGATTTCAATTCAAGCTGCATTGGTCGACGATTCAGCGGCGTTTAGCCAACAGTGTGTCGTTCTTGATGTATGTGTATCTGTTCTGTAGGCCCGCCTCGTGCGCGCGCCGCATTCTGCATTAGAGTAATTAATCTCTTTGGCATGATGTCCCTGGCGTAAGGGATGAAGCATTAATGAGAGAATTGGAACGGCGTTATGTCATCCTCAAGGTAATGCAATCCGTGGCTGTTGTGGGTATTGTACGTGATATATGCGCTCACAGAGCAACGTAGTTGCGCAAAGGAGGGCGATATGTGTTGCGATCATGCATGGTACAGATCTCGAGTCGTGGAGCCCCGATTTCGAAACTTCGAAGGGTCACACATGTCTTGAGTATCGCTGGTAATGAAAGGTAGGTGTTGTATTTTTTGAAAGGTAATGAAAGGTTAATGAAAGGTAGGTGTTGTATAGGTTAAAGGTAATGAAAGGTTAATGAAAGGTAGATGTTGTATATGTAAAAAATGTACGCAGACATGATAAACAGTCAAATGTTTACTGCTGCATAACGAAGCCAACAGCGACATGGATATCATCAACCCCAGAAGCGGAAAGGTGATATGTAGCGCTTGTGCCGGCGTGGACGGTGGCTATGCGGCAGAATACTTGGTTGCAACGCAGAAACATGGGGTTAATTGGATTCGTGCAGGCCCCGACAGTTTTAGTCTACACATTCGTCCGCTCGACGCAGCTGGCGTTAGCTGATTGATTCCACGTATATAAGATTGAACACAGCATGCATGGCTGGTCGACCTCCTGAATTTCATTCAAAATTTTATATATTGCTGCTGAATCTGTGTAAAAAGAGATTCGCAATTTGTTTTGCAATAAAAATTTTCTTCGAAGCAGTTTAAATCAATGCCGGAGGTGTGGAGTGTCACGTTTAGTTGTCTGCTCTGCTGCGTTTTTGGAATTTGCCGATGAATTAATTACACAAAAATATATTAACCCTTTCGGCCCTGGAATTTTTTCGTCACACCTGCAATTTTTTCGGTGTGATATTCTGCTTCTTTACACCATAAAACAGTGGTGTTTATTTTAAAATTTTGCGTGGTTAGCTTAACTTAAAGTTTAGAACCATGTCCTCAAATGAGGACATCAGGGCCCAATGGGTGCAGTCGAGGCAAAAGTGAATGTTAGTGTAACGGTTTATTTTCCATTTTATACACCTATTCTGGTGCAGTAAAACAGTTTCTAGCAACGCGTGTAATGTTCAGTGACGGACATGAAATTCTTTGAAGCAGTTTCCCCCATTTATGAGGCAGAGGTGGACATTGCACTTTTCACACTTGATTCTTGGCTTGCCCTTGCAGCCTTCCAGCATGCAGCGCTGTTGTTCTTCTTTCGCAACAGGCCAGTGACCGGTTTGGTCATACCTGACATCTTCCACTGGCCTTCGATTGCCACACTGAAGCTTTTTCAATGGCTGCATCGAGGAAGAAGACGGTCTCCCACGCTTTCGCGACGCAACAGCCACACCAGCTTTTGCTAGGGCATCCATAACTTGCAGCGTGAAATCTAAAAGGTCCATTTGATCGTTCACGTGTAGTCCTTGTTGCTAAGCATCGCGTTGATATTCCAGCCAGGAGTTCGTCACAGCCAAGTTCATGAAGTGTGCAATAACGCGAAGTGTCCATTTCCTAGAACGAATGTTGGTGCAGTATAGTGACACAAGAAAGTCGATCTTGTCAACTCCTCCCATGCTCTGATTGTAGTCTTGCACTACAGCAGGCCTTTTCACTTCAATGAAAGCACCATCTGTCTTACTCCATCGGGAGACATAATCTTCTTCTTCAACAGCTAGGAAGTTGGATGCCATGTTCACCGCGCGGTTATCCAACCACCGCGTTATGGCAATCTTTCCATCACTGCTTACTAAAGTGTCATGGGAGCCTCTTCCAGCTTTTTTCAATTCTTTCTCCGATTTCAGTGGACAATTTTGCATCCTGTTGATGCGTATAGTGCCGGCAGCATATATCTTCTTCTTGTCGAGTTCTCGAATCACAGGCAAAGATGTAAAGAAATTGTCAAAAAACATTTTGTGTCCAAGTCCATCCGGAATCCTTGACGTGAAGTGAAGAACCAAAGCACCCGTGACGCCAAATTCCTTCTTTTGGTCTGGATTCAGGCATGTCGTTGAACCTTGGTAAATAAGAAAATCGTATATGATGTCGGAAGCTCCGCACAACATATACACCTTGACGCCCCACGGCATTGGTTAACCCTTGACGTATTGTTTTATGTCGAGTTTACCTTTGAATGGTATGATCTGCTCGTCAATGCATAATAGTTCCTCCAACGTAATATTGTGGCACCTTTGTTTGAAGTAAGTCAGTAGCGCTCTCACTTTTCAAAGGCGGTCACTGGAATTATTCTCTTTGGTCACGTCGACAATGTGGAGACATTTGCGCAGTTTTTCAAAGCGGTTCCTTGACATATCCGCCATCGCGAACATTTCTGTTTTCAGAACAGACTTCCAGTATAAACGCAGGCGGGGGTATTTGACAACGCCCATCAGCAAATGCAGAGACATAAGTTTCCTTATTTCTTCTTCATTTGTTACTACCGCTTTGCCTTCTTTGAATATGGAATACATGTTCGTTTTGTCAGCCAGTTCAACAAAAACGCTTTGGGCACGTAACGTGAGAAATATTCGTATGGCGTTGGCAGCTCACCTTGAAGAGGTTCATTTTCATCACAAACTCCCCTGAAAACGGCTGACGGCTTCTAAAAAAGCTTTCCGGCACCACGATGTTTCTTGACATGCCTGTTCCTCGTCTGACTCGTCCGACTCATCTGACGCTTCCCGCGTTTCAAGGACGCCGTCATTGCTCCAAGTCTCTTCAAAAACGAAGTCATCGTCTTCCTCATCTTCAGTATCGCCGAAATCCGATAGGTTGCCTTTGTCCAACTGAGCAAACATTTCATCCGCGTCTTCGAGCGGCACGAATCGAGGCCTACGGGCTCTCGTTGCCGAGTAGAAGAATTGAGGTTTCATTCCGGCACCTGAAAAGTAAGCAAAAGCAGCTGTACGGCCACGAGACGCCACACCATCACCTGCGAAACGTGGCAACCACCGAGCCCCTCGTGTACTCAAATGAGGACAAATGCTCTTATGCACGCGATCACTGAAATACGCATTTGCCGAGAATGTCTTGGGTGATTACATCTTCTATATAGAGTTAAAAACTTTGTGCTAAATTCTTATCGCGACAGCAACAGTGGTTTACGGGTAAAAAAAATAGAAAAGTCCGCACTTACTTGGCCCAGCGCCCCGTTCGTCGTCTTCCATCTTTGTTGTTTCTCGCTGCTGCTCTGACGAACGTGAGGGCGCGAGAACTGATGTCAATGCCACAAGAGATGTTTTGCGAGCGGTACAATTTCTGTTTCAGTTTCGTTTTACTTGTTAAAAGCGCAACAAACACCTTTTTAGGACTTGTACTCGTTTGAGGACACCAGGGCCCAAAGGGTTGATAATAGGTACCTCAAACTTTTTTGAATACTTATAGGCGTACTGGTCCTTACGCTCAATTACAATTCGAGTGTCTGCGTAATGTAGATTTTGTTGTAAAAATTCTCAAATTTAACATAAAAATTTTTCTGCCTGGTTTGCAGGCCTTTATTTCACAAAGGACAAAAAGCAGAGAAGTGAAAATTCATCACAACTTTCTCAATATGCTTTTTTATAAAACTGCCAAACGTTACATTAATATCACTTTTCACTCAAAAGGTATAATCGCGCTAACTTCAAGAAAAGAGCATGGAAGGAAAACTTCTGACGACGATTAAAAAATAATTTTCGATATTTTTTTATACTTTCCCCCCTTTAATTTACTGCACATCAGCATTCACAATCAATAAAAACTTGTTGCAATATATGGTTTTGCTTTTTCTTTTTTTTACTTTCTTTTTTCTTGTTTCATTTTTCTTTTTTCCCTTACTCAAGCTTCTTTCCATTCACAGCCAGGTTTGACATGTGGAAGCAATTTCGGTGGTTCCTCACCCATCATTGTGTTCGCCCAGTCCATTCTGCGAAAAGCTTGACCACGCGAGCTTTTCCCAAGCTCCAGTCACTCATACCTGAGCTTTTGCGTTCTTTGTACGCCCCAAGGAATGCAGACAGGCTAGAAAACGCAGCAACGAGCTCTACTCTCCGGGTTTAGGGCGTGCAGCACTTATATCTGTATTATTCCAAAGGTGAGCATTCCGTAGAAGTCTGCTTAATTGAGATAAAAGAAAAATGGAAGAAAGAAAGAGAAAACTCCAGCCAATATTTATATTAAAAAACCCAATGCTTTGAAGCCTGATCGGCTTTTACTTCAGGGATGAGAAGGCCCGAGATGTTTGCCCCAACTCGTTGCAAGCCTTGGAAGTGGAGGGAGGGCACTGTCCCAAGTGGTGCGGTTGTTGTCTCCCACTGTCGGCTGACTGTCCCAGGATTGAAAAAGGAGCGGCTGGAGAAGGTTTCTTTCTGTTTAGAAAATCACCGCACTGTCTGCACTTTTATGGTGGCCAACCCACTTACAATGTTCTGCCTCTGCGCTTCGTTCAATGTTCAATTTAGGGAAGTCATTCCTGTGCTGCCACATTTTTTTTCAAGCTGTGGGACCACTTGATGTCTCCTGTAGCCCCACACTTCCAAGTCTTATGACTCGGGCTGACCTGCCATCGGCGCCTATCCGCTTTTTCTCTACCAGCCGTGGCCGTCAGATTCTTCCAAACCTTCTCCTTCTACCTACTTGAAATCTCTCTTTTTCGGCCCCCCTCCCCCCCCCCCCCACGCACTGAGCCGTGCTCCTGCAAGGGCTGCAGAAGGTAGTGCCATTTTCCTTCCATTCAAGCACACACATTCATTCACATTTTTCATGGAAGTTCTGGAATAAGCCGGCGCACGCGATCCTGCACACGAAGCCTTGGGCTCTTCCCGCAGGTGGAAGGTCTTTGGACTAGCGGATGAAACTGCGGATGGTGGTGGAAAGCTTGTGGCTACATCGACTCCTGTCTTTTTAACTTCTCTGGCCCCCACGATGTAGGGGATTGACATTTGGCGTTGTTGCGGCGCGGTTGGTGTCACATTCCCCCCCCCCCCTTCCTATTTTTTACAGAGGGCTATGCGAATAAACGCCTTTGTAAATAACCGTTGGTGCCGAAGTCATCCCTATTGGAAAAATTGCCATGGTGGATACTGGAAAACATGGTGGGCGTAGTGGAAATAATAGTGGGCATGGTGGAAATAATAGTGGGCATGGTGGAAATTATGATGGCTATGGTGGGACGTAGTGGAAAATATGGTGGTTATGCCGGGACATACTGGGTGGTATGGTGTACAGATGATGGGTAAAGTGGAAATGATAGTGGAAAGCAGAGGCTAGATAGTGGGCAATAATGGGACACTCTGCTCACCATTGCGATAATGCTGGGAAGCCCTAAGCATATGGTGGGTGGTGCTTATTATGGTGGGCTACATGGTGTACCAAGCTGAGAAACTCTTCCCACCATTGCGATAATGCTGGGAAGCACTAAGCAGATGATGGGTACTGCTTGTTATGGTGGGCCACATGGTGTACCAAGCTGAGAAGCTCTGCCCCCCATCGCGATAATGCTGGGAAGCAGTAAGCAGATGATGGGTGGGCTTATAATGGCGGGCAAATTATATAGTGTACCAAGCTGGGATCTGTACACTACATGTTCTACCATCATGATTTCCACCAAAGGTTAGGCCTACTGACCGAGCCCGTACAATTGTGTTATCCGTGCTTCCGGGTTTCAGAATACACGATTACGACGATTAAGTATGACAATACAGCGCAGCCATATGGCATCAATTAACCTAAATGAAGCATTTTTCATTGTGTATGGTGTTCGCTCAAGAAGCAACAAACATCGATGTGACGCGATTAAAGCACTCCCAGAGAACGTAATTAAGTGTCTTCTCACCAACAGCCGCCGGTCGCACTCGCCGGCACTTCTCTAGCTTTTGTACGAGAACTCAGACGTGGCAATTCGTGTGCTTGGTGAACCATTATGATAGCGTAATGTTTCCGGTACACTGCATTCGCTTTGGCCAAGCCGTTATGTAGTTGTTGCTTTAGCGAAAGAGCTACAGCATTGCGCTGGCGCGACCGCCCTCTACATTGCGCGAAAAGCATCCTAATACTCAATCAAATAAATTAGGCAGGCGTATCTATGAAATGAGCCTAGAAGCGTCATAAAGCGTGAACAGATGTCGCCCTTTAGAACGAGCGCGAAACGGATATTAAACTTGGCAGACCCCGCCGGTAAACTGTTGCTGCTCCCCGGTCCACTTGGTTTTTTTTCCCTTGAAGTTGTGAATTGTAAAAAAAAAATAGCACTAGTGCCAATAACATAGTGACAATCGTTACAGGCCGCAGTTGCTTGTGTTTAATAAATGTGCAATTTTTAGTAGCAGGTGTAGATCTTGTCTATGTTGTGTACACGACAAACATAACTTAAGTTGAACCTTAAGTTTGTATGCCAACTAAATATTTAACACGCAATCTCCGTCATGTTGGTGTGTTGCAGTGGTTAGCGTCTTCGAATGGAAATCCGCAGGTTGCACGTTCGATCCTCCGTGGCGCCTTGTTTTTTTTTTTTTTTACGGGATGGGTGTTTTTTTATACCGTTTTTATAGAGTTCTTTTTTATTTTTTGTGGCAGCTCGTCACGGTGATTCTGACGTCATTTCGCGCTCAAGTCTTGCCGGCACTGCAGCACCCACCATACCCACCATGCGCCATGGTGGGTGTTTCCCACCATTCACCCACTACATTAATCCACTATAATGGTGGGTGGTGGTTTCCACCATGCCCACCATTCGTTTTTTTCCGATAGGGATGTTTTATTTTCTCCCTTCCCCCGCTGTGGTGACGAATGGTGATTAGATGATTGGTTATTTTGATTGGAGTTTTCACGTTTGTTCAGATTTCTTTATTCTTGCCAGAGAAAGGTGATTTCGAACATTTTTGTACGTGTATGGTTGCTTTTCAAGGGAAGCCTGCAGTAAATGATCTGGGAGGCTTGGGAGATTAGCTAAAACTCGCCTCACCCACAGCTGGCTGGCACAAAACAAAGCTTAGCGGGGGGTCATGAGAAGGCATGGAGATAGCACAACAAGATGAAAGGAGAGGATCTTTTGCGCGATGAAGCGTTGCTAAAGTCTTTGCGGCAGCCATTTCATTTACGACCATCCCCACTT